GCTGAGCGGCGATTGTAGTATTTTATAAATTAATTTTTTATCATAGCGGCTAGTTGGCGCGACAAGTTGTATGTTAGTTTGCACTAGCGTTATAAATCAATGAATTTCGAAAATCACCAAAATAACTAGTAACTGCCTCAAACAAGATGGTGATAATGCATAAACCGATTTATTCCATTTTGGAATAAAGAGACTAGTACCCATTTCTTTCTGTGTTGTAATCAGCTCTCACTTTACATGTCCTTATTTATGATAATTCGACCAGAAAATGTTAATTATTATTCTGATTCGTAAGTGCTCTGGTCTTTGTGGTTTTCGACTTTTGTGTTTTCTTTTCTATTTATTATTAAATTATGGAAAAAAAAGTTGATTAAGTTTCATTATAAATGTACTTTGAAAATTTTAATAATGAATCTCGATAACTTTTAAAATGTATAGTTTCTACGAAGCACCTGGCCCGAGTTGTATAAAATTTAGCACTTTCATTCTTTAATTCATTGTTATATGTTTTACAGTGACAAGTATGCCGTCTAGGTTGTTTGATGATTGGTGCTCGCGTTAATTTATTTGTTTTATTAGTAAATACAACAACCAGTATGTGTCAATGTTCGTTTAGGTACTATTGCCAGCGTCAAAGGCTCTTTAACTTTAATAACCATTATAATGACTACTAAGAACCCTAGATTTCTAAGTAATTGGAACTTGAGTTTTCTCAAATTTATTGTTAAAGAATACATCTCATAAGCACCCTTGTTTATGTCGTAACTGACACTTGTGTTGTTCAAATTTAACCTATTTTCTGTCCCTTTCTTTCTCTCTATATCTCTTCTCTTAACTTTTTTTCTCTCTCTCTCTCTCTTTTTACCCTATGTCTCTTTCTGTTTCTCTCCTTTCCTCTTTTTCTCTCACTTTTTCTTTCTACTTTATTAAAGTAGTCGTGAATAGAAGTGAAGTGAAGCTCTCTTCACTCAGTATCTTCTGAGACTATGTTTAAGGAATCTCGCTTCGTAGCAGCATTTAAGCCTTGCTTAGGGATTCAAGAGTGCGGAACGACAGTTGTGACTAAACTGCGTTAAGACACCTTTCGTAACTGTAGCGTCAATCCTTAATTGTAAGTAATTTAGAATGAACATTAAAGTTAATTTTTTTTAAAACTATTGTGATTTAAAATTTGATTTTTAGCTTTAGTGTCCTACAAAATTTTTACTTTTTTATTCTTCATGTTTAGGAAACGTTGATTATTTCAGAAAATCAAGGAAGTTTTTTTTTAAATATAAAAATGGGGGCTGTATATTCTCAGAAGCACAATGCTCATAATGATGACAAGGACATCAAAGCCAGGGTAAGATTTCATCAAATACATTGATTTTTTTTTTAAAATANCAATCCCCAGAAGTAGATAATAAGCAAGCTTTGCATGGACGCGTGATAATAGGGATTTAATATAATATTCTTTGGATTAAAAAATGTTGTAATAATTTTATGATCATAACGATATTCTCATAAATAATGATGCGATTTCTTAATCATATTGTTAATTTTTATTCCTCTATCCCTTTGATTGTACATGTTTCTTTTTTTATTAGTCTTTATAAACTGTCCTACATTTAGAAAAATATTTGTTGTCATGTTATGGCTTGTATTATTTTTAATGACTACAATATTTAATGATAACAATCGTATTACCAAAAAAGTTTTCATTGTTCTTTTTGAATAGACTTCCCTTCATTACTCTGTGTGCATATCCTTTATGAATCTGGCACCTTTTTTATTGTAGAAACAACGGAATTATAATAGAGATAGTAACTTTCTCATGTTTAAATAAACTAACACACGTATACGCACAGGTAGGCTCTTGCATGTAATAAAAAATATAACTTAAGACATGTTTTTCGCAATTAAGCACTCCATAAAGAATTTCAAACCGTACATCCCTAAGATGCAGCGGATATTTCACTTTCGTTTTACGAGAACTGCAGTAGATATTACACCCTTGTCACAAGTTTTTCAATAGTTTTGTATTTCCTCTATTAAAAAAAACCATGAAAACATGTAGTTTTACATCGCCGTTTCTATGTGGTTTGTCTTAAATCACCACATGATTTATAACATGTTGTTTTTCATACTAAATTTTTTAAGTGTAAATTTAACTTAAGTTAACTGATTTAAAAAAAATTACTTTATCCAAAGTAGGTAGTAAAAAATGGTATACTTAGAAGAACTTCTTTGTTTTTTAAAAAATCACATGGTATTCTTAAAAATCTCATGGTTTTCAAAACCACGTTATTCATAAGCCACCTAGTGATTGGAGACAAAAAACTATTTTTAAACGAAGTAAAATCCTAATGCAAGACATATGAAAACCACATAAAATTATGTGGTTTTTCCTTACGGTTTTTTGACATGGTTTTCTTCAACACAGTTCTATCCCATAGTTCATGGTTACAATGAATAACTGTATATTGAGTGCGCTTCAAAATAATAAGTAGGTTAATTTATTACATGTGTACCATTTTTCAATAATTATTACATTAGTACATTCATAAAACATTTTCTAGTTGTGCTTGCTAAGATAATAGAGTCGTAGGTCTATTGTTTACTGAAATGAATCATAACATACTCCAGTACCGCACTGTTTATTGGACCAGAATTCAACGAGAGAAAGTTCAACGTGAGGAATTCAACGTGAGGAAATCACATGAGTCAATATTGTGAAAAGTCTGTGTAAGATTATGGCATGGGAGCTCATGTAAGATCTCACATGAGTTCTCACGTGAGGTTTTGTACTAGGGGTAGCTTTTTTTTAAAAGTCGATTTTAGGGTAGAAGATGCTCAAAGTAGGCAATTATTCATTTTTTTCATGGTATATCTTTAAGTTGCGGCTGGTTTATAAATGTCACTACCATACTACCGCGCAACTCTTCACCAAAATGGAATATGACAAAAATATTGTGGATCTCTCCTAATCATAAGATTTCTCAATTCTGGTGAGAGTGACGGCTGGTTTAGATTTTTAACCACCTTAGAACCTCAGCTCTTGGTCTATCAACGCTCTTGCGAGTAGTAGGACTAGTATAGGTAGTATGAGGCTCTTTTACCGTCAAGCTTAAATCAGATGGCGCCAGAGCACGTCGCGGCTGTTATGGCCATCGCACTTACACACCGTCAAATTTACAGTTGTGTATTGTGTTCGTGAGCCTATCTGTGTAATGAGCAAAGCAGAAGATATAACCTTTGTAAATGATTGCTGTTGTTTGCAAACAATTTTGTTTGCATTTGCGTTTAAAGATAGTAGGAAAAATGAAGTGCAGTGTAATATCCTGCGATAAGAAAGTGAAATTTAAATTTCCTTCTGATAGTGTGATAAAAAAAAAGTGGCTCGAAGCAATTGGGAGACCAACATTTTTGCCGCTCCCAAGTCATGGCTTATGCCTCGACCACTTTGCCTCCACGAGTTCTGCTTTTCTTCCACTGACTCTTGCTCCTTTCCCNACAAATTTTTTAAATTTGTTGATTATTGTTAATATTCCTTATGTATTCAAGAATCATCAAAACAATTCGTAAAATTTTTTTTCAAATAGGAACACAACTCGCATAAGTGCCCCTGCGCTAATAATTTAATATAATAATTTATCACGTGAGAAGAAATCACCAGTGAGGGCGCGGTGGCTCAGTCGGCTGGTTTGTGGGACGGCACGCGGAAAACTGCGGGTTCGTTTCCCGGCCAGTTCGACTCTCCCAAGCAAGTACCTCTGTGAATTTTCATATGTGCTTTTTGACCACGTAAGTAGGTATTTATTAAAAAAAAAAAAATCACCAGGAAACCCACAATGGTCACGTGCACTGACTTTTCTTGAAAAAAAAAAAATTGATTACGTGGTTATCTGGGAACCCAAGACTGTGAAGAGCTTCTCGTTTTTAAAATATTACAATAATTTTCTTGCACAAGCTGACATCACTAGGTGACCAAAACTGTTTAAGTGTATTTTTATTTATTTATTAATAAATTTAATCATTCACAACATTTATGCGGATATCAAAAGGTGACTCTGCGTGCTAAAGTAAATGACTTTTTGTTTAAAATATGGTTATGTACATTATAAGTAAGCNAGACATAACCTTTGTAAATGATTGCTGTTGTTTGCAAACAATTTTGTTTGCATTTGCGTTTAAAGATAGTAGGAAAAATGAAGTGCAGTGTAATATCCTGCGATAAGAAAGTGAAATTTAAATTTCCTTCTGATAGTGTGATAAAAAAAAAGTGGCTCGAAGCAATTGGGAGACCAACATTTTTGCCTCGACCACTTTGCCTCCACGAGTTCTGCTTTTCTTCCACTGACTCTTGCTCCTTTCCCATTTAAAAGCTTTTTCAATTCTGAAACTTTTAAGCTCCCATAATATTCTTTCTTGTCTTCCTTATTCATTTCAAAATTTGAAATATTGCGCTTTACCTCTACACTTTACTTTCCTATGTACATACAATACTGAAAAGTAATGTTGTGTGAGTGAGACGGCCATGACAGCCGCGACGTGCCCTGGCGCCATCTGATTCAAGCTTGACGGTAAAAAGGGTAAAAGCATGGTGTAAGAATAGACAGGTGGGCCGAAGGCCCGCCTCTATTGAGTCCAATTTGTGTCGCAGTACATCTAAAATCCGCTAGGTGGTTTCGAGTAGTAGAGGCAGTTTTCATAATGGTAAGTATGACTATATAAAAAAAAAAAAAGAAAAAAGAAAAAAAAAATTTTCATACTATCAATGGCCTGCACGACACGGATCCCTCTGGTGGCTAGTATCGGTACTGCGACAAAATTTGAACTTTTTTTACAATGCGTTGAGGTAGGCCTTCGGCCCACCTGTCTATTCTTACACCATGGGTAAAAGAGCCTCATAGGGGAACTTTCTTTGACGTACACTGCTCTTTTCTGCAGACATGTGATCGCGGCATAGTCTGTGTGATGTACCCTAAGGTCCTTAAGACAGTAGTTTCTGCAGATGTATATCTCTGTTATGATTGTGTGATCGTGATCGAATGTTTACGTTATTAGTTAAAATATAAGTACACATATACTTAGAGAAATGCATTATAAAAAATGCCCATGAATTAGTCAATTTTCTATGTTTTAAAGAAAGTATACTAATTAGCTTGTTTCCTTACTTTTAGAATAAGTTTCATAAGCTCTATCGGGATTGACAGTATTACATAGAATGCCTTTCACAGCTGACGCCGCTGCTTACCAAATTCAGGTACTTATTGTTCCTCGTAATATTTGTTTGATAGATAACTTAATGAATGAAAAGATGTTATTAAGTCACGACTGTGTATCATATTTTATGCTGCATCTTAAAATATAGGTTAGATTTTTGCAGTATCGTCACGTATTTCTGCATTTGTTGTTACAGGAAAGACTGAAAAGCATTAATCAACTAGTCCACGATGTTGAAAAAGCACGAGAACACTCAGAAGTCAATTTGAATAACATCACCAAGACGCAGGAAAAAGTTAATGCGGATGAAAAAATATCGCCTTTCTATCAGCAAAAGTTGAAAAGCCAGTACAGTTCAGCAGTCGTGGATGCCCAACAGGAGGAAGACTTGCTAAGGAAAGCCTTGGAAAAAATAAACGAGATCAGATCTATTAGAAATGAAAGAAAAATACAGGTAATGCAAGTGTGAATTATGCCACCACATACAAAAATGTTTCATGATAAGCTAGCTGTATTTTATTATATTCATATACCTTCATGTATCTGAAAATATGAACATAAATTAATCAAACACTTGTGAAGCTGATAAATACTTGATGACTACGACGTCTACGTACATTGATCAAACTTCTTTTAACAGCACATCTACATACCTTATATTTTTTTATGAAACTGCTAGCTAATTTCGTGCAATAANGTATATTATATAATAGAGCAGCCAGTTAGCTCTACAGGCCATCAGGTTTCAGGCGCTTCTGTTGTTTCTTAATATTTTATTATCTACTAAATCGGCCAGTGAGCACTGCAGGATATCAAGAGACAGGCGCTTATGTTGACGTTTCACAGTTTATTGTTTTATAGTGCGGCCTGTTAGCGACCCTGGTTATCGGGTGATAAGCACTTGTGTTATGGATTTATATTTTATATTCAAATAGAGTGGCCTGGGTGCATCGAAGCTCGTGCAACTGTTTGGCCTCTGTAAGGACGATTACCTGCAACTTGAAATCATTGGTTAATCGACGCAGCTTGAATACCACTTGCGATGTACATGTATGGATGAACTTGTCAAACCATTAGGTTTAATAATTAACCTTGACAATCGTCATTAGGTCGCGATGTACTTTTTCTAAGTAAAAAAGGTTGCATTGTACTTTGATAGTACAGGAAGCATGACGATACCTATTAAATATATATCGTGCGTTCGAAAAGGCTAATTTGACGCTCAAGGCATCGTCGATGAAGCAACAAACCGATGGTCACAATTACGGCCTTTACTCACTCATCAATGCAAGGTCGCTTTGTACTGCAACTGATATGACATCGGCGATAAATATATTCGTTTCTGCCGATGAGCCATCCTTTTTCGAAGGTTTAGACTACTGTTAGTCTCTGGGTCAGATGTTAAGGCAATGGCGTTACTCGACGAATTGGAATGCTTTGACTTTAGTGATGAGTTTTTTTACGCTGACATTGCACCAACGCCAATGATTGCTATCTCACCCATTCACTTAATTAAGGACAAAACGGGGTATCGCCTCGTACCGCCACTACAAGGCCCTCAACCGACGAATCCGGTTACGTCGACACTAACACCACGGAATTTACTGGACAACGCTGATGCTGCTGCTACTACAGCTACCGCCAACCACGACGCCCGTACAACTTTTGTCAGTGACACTGCTAGCGACTTAACTGCGAGCACTGCAAAAACAATAGATGATGCAGACATTACGACGTGCCACATAGAAATGCTTGAGGCAACTATTGACATCGAGTCTTATTGCATAGTTTCAAGGTCAATGCAAGTTTTTCGGCTAGAGGCAAAAACTAAGGTCATGACAGGAAGACCATGATACGCAATATGCGCTTATACAAAAGTCACGGACTACTTAAATAAGCAAGAATTTTACACCAATAAAAGACATCAGTGGCTGGAATACCACCTCACCAACTATGACAACGAGGCAATTTATGTGCTTTACCGCTATCACAGGGACATCGGTAAATTAAACGTTGCGAGCACGTTTGTAAAGAAAGTTGTTGTAGCGACAGTCAATTCTCTGCCCGTTACGAGCAAAACAGCCAAGGAATGGCCTTGTGAGTGTGAAATTACTACCGCTTTCTCGTTTACGCTGCACAAAACTGAATATGCACTATTTACCGGCCTCATTGATCGCTTTACGCAAAGTTTTATCGAAACGACTAAGGGCGTACTTAATGTATTTTTCTACAAAGCTTTCCATGGCTTAAAGGGTACACCAGACAAAATCTTAAGGGTTATCAGAAGCTGCCTCAAACCAGATCACGAAACCTCGGAAATCGTGACGATTCAAATCCATTTTGGTGCAACTGTTCCAGCACAACCAGTAACGAATATTGTCTTTAATTACGACAAACTAAGACACGCCTTCAGAGGCAGTGCGACCTTCATCAGGACGCGTACAAATAATGAACGTAAGCATGGGCACATTCATTATCTGTATAACATCAAAAAATTCCCGACAATTTTGTATGGTCATTCGTATGCTACAGCAGACCACATGCTACAAAGCAAGGTTCTCGTTCAGCAGAGTTACTTTAATTACTCTCTTTTATCCGGTTGTGCAATGTACGGGCCTCCCAAGGTCTCTGAACACCAGAGGCGCGTGCGAAAGGGTTACAATAAACTAGTATCGCACCTTGATGCACACCAATATGCCCTAGACATAAGGATAGAGATTGTAGAGGGATTTGATAGTTTGACGGACCTCGATAGGCCTTTCAAAAACGAGTGGTCAGCCGCAACATCTATTCTGATGCACGTACCAAAAAACTATTACAGATTGACGGTACTGCCCTTGGTGTTGCGCGAACTAGCTTTGCACAATGTTTTTGTGTTAATAAAAAATTAGGATTAATACGTTGACGCTTTGATGAACTTATACACGGTAAAAATAATTCAATTCTATAAATGTGTGTATACATATATATATATATATAC